TCTTACATTTCGTAATTAGTAGCTCCATATAAATAATGAGTAATAGACACGATATTATTACTGATTGGTTACTAAATTTAGAAACATTCCATTCTACGTTGAAGTCAAGTCTTTTTTTCCTTTTAAAGTCATAATTACGAACAGGTAATTAGTATTGAAATATGCAAGGCAATGATAATAATTTATAAATAATTTATTATAGAAATCAGAAATGGAATAGGATATTACCTACTAAGATACTAATTTCGTTGATTGATATTAATAATAGATTTGCGGAGCACAAAAAACAGCTGTTTTATATTAGTTTATAAAAGTAACAATAAGACATTTGTTCTCTGATTTTTAACGAGTGTTATTGTAACATTTGCCGTAAGTAGCATATAAACTGAATAAATAACTCATAAACGTATCTTTACGATATGAATAATCATAAATTAAAAAATAAGTGACCCGTCATTTCGACGAGTTCCGTATATCTAGTGTTAACGGGAACTTCATACTAAACGTAAAAGAATTACTTAAATATTTCCATTGAAATTAAAAACTAAAAATGTAAAATATGTAAATGTTAACCAACAGTCTGCATAAAATAAAGTGTAAAAATAACTGTGTTTAAACAGGACAAAATGAACGTAATTAGAGAGGCAGTTCACCACAATCGTACAAGTCATAAGAAATGCATTGCCTGATAAATGGCAAACCGCAGACACGTTTGTGAAGTAGGAAACAGTACCCCAGGCGATTCTGAATCCTTCGAAAGCTCCTGGTGAATCATTATCATCTCGATCTTCAACAGGATAAGATAAAGATGATGCAACGAACACACGTGGATAAAACAGTTGTGAAATTCGATCATTTATGCGATGTTTTTCAGAAAATAAGCTGCCTCGTCTCTATTACAACCATAAAAACCAATAACAAAGATGCAGAACACTTTGCCCTGTGGTGAGAAGAAACGGACGACCTGTCAGAAAACTGGCACACGCTTAGATTCATAATTACTGCAATTCATCTGATGCATCGATGCCATACGTCATATAGAACTAGGTCAGACGCATTGTTGTCCTCTCATCAATGGTGTCGCGACGTCCGACACAACATCCGACGATTGCATAATCCTCGCATTTGCATTTCTATCACTACCGAGAGGTGCAAAGTTCATCGGATTTTTGCGCCTAGATTCTGAAGAAGATTGCGATGCGTTAATATAATCGTTATTTTTTTGTGTTCTTGTCGAAACATCGATAACGCCTGATTGAGCAACCGTGCGGACCTGCGACCTCTCTCCTATGACATTGCAAATCGCGGACTTTCTAAATCGTTTAGGGTAAAAAAATAATCGACCGAGATAGGAAAATGATTGATGCCGATAGTCGGGCGAATCGATGGGAGTTGGTTGAAATATCGATCGAAATGACTGGTTTTTAATTGCTGTCTCTACTTTTTGCTCGCTGCAACAACATAGTTGGAACCAGTCGAACAAGAAATTATTGTCAGATTATGGAAATACATGTAAATTTTTTATTCTATTCGTAATAAACAGGTTAATCTATTAATATCTTATTTTTGTATTTCAACTACACAATTTTTACATAAGTTGATAAACTCTGCAGTATATTTATTATTCTTACAGTACAAGTTTATGAAATACAAGAAAATTTTGTCTATTTTCAGATTTTCGTAAAATAATTGACGAAAGTAAGAATTCGCATAAAATTCCACAGTTTGCGATGGATTCATGTGCACTGACTTTACGAATTGTCTTCTAAAGGCTGTCGAATCTCGAGAGATCTCTGCGGCTTTTCAAATGTTCATTGTAAGCTAGTTGAGTTATTTATCTTTTAAATGTCTCCGAAACTGCGACTGCAATGGAACCTGAAATTCGCGTTACGACACACGTGGTGACAGATCTATGCACGTGGACTTTATGCAAGAATGATTGCGTAATCGTGACGTTTCCTCGAGGTATAAATAATACAGAAACTATGTTGCAGGAAGTTCACATCGATGCTTGATCGAGTTCCTCTCCCTTTCCGCGTTTTTCCTTTTAATCGAATGATCAAATATTCCTTTCACCGGACACGGAAGTCTGCTGGAGGTTGATTAAGAGTGATTTCCTCAAGACTTACTATTACACGTGCAAATTAATAATCATAGCCGAGCGTTTTGTGAAAACCATCCCATCAATTTTCTACCATGAAAGTCGTGAAGAACGTTGTAAAGCTACTAATCATGTAGAATACTACAAAACGATCATGTGTAAATTAGACGCGTCTACAATTTATAATGCAGCTAGCATAGCTAACGTGAAACCTAAAGTAGAATTCATAGCCAATTAAAATATCATTAACGACACTAGAAATATTTTTCTAGGCCAAATTAGGCTGATATTTCTTAATTAACTGAAAGAACAAAATATACACACGTATTCTGCAGATGTGTGTGTATACAGCTACATCAGATGCGAAGCAAAATTCATAGACAGTCAATATCATTAAAGACACCAAAAGTATTGTATTTTTTTTCAAATAATTCACGGTTGGTTAGTTTAGGCGCGGGTCAAAATTAGACTGTTTTTCCTTAATTAACTTAGAGATAAAAAGATCAATGGAAACATGGATAAAGGATCATTCTCGACAGGATTAAAAAAAATTCCGTTCACTTTATTCTACAGTCCAGGTTTTGAAAGTTCGTCCAGAAAAACGCTGTCGCTAATCGCAGGAGCGACAAAAAATTACTACATACAGCACCGTATGGTAATTACGAGACGTGGCCGACAATTACGGAACATTGAGCAAACCGGACCTGTGAAATAATTAGCTGCCAAAGACGCTGTCAAAGATGCTGTGTCGAAATGCGTCGTTGCTCAATCGGTCTATGCCACAATATTATGATTCCGCGATCATCGTAAACGCGTCTAATCGATGCATGAAAACTCCGTAACTCATAAACCAGGCAAATCCATCTAGAAAGTGCTCACCTTGCGAACAGGATTGTTCGCTAACGAGACAAATTGCATCGTTCGGTTTTTACGAGACTGTAAAAACCACAAGGTGTGTGCGATAATCACTTCAAAAAAATATTAACGCATTTGACGGACATCAGTGGCAGTTTCCATACGGTAGCGAGCACCTGTAAGTTCTTCCTGGATTTATCCGGGACGCTTATCTAGTGTCTTATTAAGAAGTACGTGCTATTATACAAAATATTGCAGGGGATCGCTGCGGGCACGCGACCGCTGAACTATAGCTCTGGCAAGCGCGTAATTTTATGGCAGCGCTGTCGAGGAACGGAGCAATAGTACAGACGGTTTAAGCGAATGGAGAAGCCCATGAAAAGATGCCTGACTGTCATTGCCGTTTAATTGACCTCCAGCCTCGTTAGCCCTAGCACAATTACGGATTGAGATAGTTTAAGAAAGAATCGTGGCTAGGCGAACCGTCATTGCAGTTGGTGCTATGCGTTGAAGTCACTTTGACAATGACGTACTGAAAGTCTCTTAAGTCCTTTGACATTGTTACGTCAAAAGTCGAAGTCTTTTTGGTGATCTCACATCACTTTACCACGCGTTGAAGTCTCCAAAATGCAATTCTAATGTGCACCGACTGTACTCGAATTTCGGTGCGCTACTTAATTATACAATTAAATTTTCTGGAGTCTGAAATGTTACTCTATCATACATTGAAGTTTCCTGAACACTGTAGTAAAATTTCATCACACACTGAACTCTAATGAACGCAACAGCGTCATAGTTTTTCACATTGTTATCTGTTCTCGAACTAAATTCTTTCAATAAAAAGAAACACTCCTCGCCAACAAATTTCTTAATAAATATCGCTACCTTGAATCTATCCTTCTACAATGCTCTCTATTAGTTAACACATGTCTAAAGCTTCTATGTCCATGGATCTTTGGAATGTCCTCTACGATCTTGATTGATCTCAGTCCGATCGGAGTCCACTTGGTAATCCCTGAATGATTCGTTGAGCTATTTTCCATGCTGGATCGTTGAGCAGCTTCTTTTAATGAGCATTGTCAGAAGGTAGACCCTTGATTGCGAATGCTCCACGGAAGATTGGCTTGAAGACCTCTAGAACTGTCTGTGTTCGGCGGGCTGAGTTCTGAAAATCGTCAAGAAATATCGGTCTTCGATGCTGAATCGGTTTTACGCTATACCGACCCGGCAAATTACCCATAAAAATGCGATACGGAACGTTGCAAATTTAATGAACCGTTCAGAGTACGTGCTAACTAACACGGACGCCTTATCAAGCAAAAGTTGCTGATTAATGTTTTTTACTTTCCCAAAAGATCATACATGGAGTGTGAAGGAAATATTGAACAAATTTGTATTGGCACACTGTTTCCTTTACCGTTGACGTTGCCGTGTATTCTATTGGGTTGGCAACTAAGTAATTGCCGATTTGTTCAATGAAATAAAAGATTTTTTTTTACTTGGAATGAAGCTTAATCTGTAATGTATTTTTCATTTTGTTCGAAGACTTTTTGCCATCTCTCTGACAACTTGAAAATTCCACGCTCGTAGAAAGTCTGATCCTTTTCGGCTAAAAACTGAGTTAAGTGAGATTTTACAGCGTCATCGTCATTAAAAGTTTTACCACGAAGGGAGTTGTCCAGGGATCGAAATAAGTGGTAATCCGATGGCGCGAAATCAGGGCTATATGGTGGGTGTAACATTAATTCCCGACCAATGTCCATCAATTTTTGCCGAGTGGACAAAGACGTGTGCGGCCTAGCATTGTCCTGGTGGAAAATGACACCTTTACGATTGACCAATTCTGGTCGCTTTTCCTTGACCGTTGTATTCAATTTGTCCAGTTATTAACATTCACGGATAATAAAAAATAACATAATAATAATAATAATAATAATAATAATAATAATAATAACAATTTTATAATATAACATTTACGGATATCATAAAAATGGGAGTGAGAGACATCTATAACTGAAATCGGCAATTACTTAGTTGCCAACCCAATATATTAGCTAACATTGTTTTAGATAGCAGAACATCTCTGTAACTGTAGGTACCCTAAAAATTTAGATTCGCAAAGAATAATTCTTCTGGTAAGACTACTTAAACTAAGAACAATTTTGAAAGATCTCATTGACAAAATATTTTTATCGCTGCAATTATTTTATATTTTTATTATATTGAGTGCTGCAATTATTTGAGTGGGTTAGAATCATGGTAACGTAAGTCACATTTTCGAAAATTTTGACTAATGTCTTAAAATGCAATCTATGCACGCCAAAATGTTAACAGGATAAGTGAAATCAATGATAATAGTGCTATAAATTAACTTAATACTAAATTAGCTCTAAATAAACTCGTTGTTTCTCACAATGAGGAAAATGCGACTTATGTCGCTATGATTCTAGCCTACGCATTGAATGCACCAAAGGTTTCTTCAAACGCGCCAAAATTTCAGTTATCCATTATTAGAAAAATAATTGGTAGTCGTTCCGATCGATAAATATTAATGCGCCACTTCCAAATGACACAGTGCACCTGCTGGGACGGTGTCAGTTGATTAGCATGCGTAGAAACGCTCGAAGATTTTGCAACGGTATCGAGTGAAGGGTAACACGTTTCCACCGATAAATCGATCGGTTGTGGAAACGCAAAAAAACTCGCTAACTGATTCTCAAGTAATGTGTCACGGAAACCTCTTTACCTCGTTGTGATGATCCATCGTACTTTGAGTAAGAAATCTAACGCGGATGATTTCTAAGATCGTAGCGAAACCGATCGAAGTCTCCGAGTAGCATGATCGATTTCACTTCGACGTTTTCGACTTACAAGTATCAGGCTGCTCAGGACCTTGCTGAAATTCGTGACTAGGGTGAAGCCGCTGCCGAACGCTGACGATGGCACGTCCAAGGACACTCGCTTCCTGTCGAACTCGGGGATATTCTCCGTGGTGCTAGTGATCTTTTCCTGAACACACAGAAAAACGATGATAGATCGCCTTTCACAACGGCTTATCGCGGTGTTCGCGGAGACCGATCTCGATTTTTCACCTCGAGCGCAGACCCGTTCTAGATAGAGCCGACCGAGATCCCGGCAGTATAGCCTACGCATTGACGCAACTACATTTTTACGCGTCTACGACCTCGTCGCATTTGATAACTCAGTTAATACTGTGTGTCCCACAAATTCTAGGAACACTTATTTCGAGCTACATGCAAAATCTCGACTGATGAGAATTATTGGATTTAACGATTTGACTGACACCCCTAATATTATAAGGATCTGCAAAATGTAATGATGTCGTAAAAGTAATTCATCCCATAGAACTTAACGTTTTTAATTTGAATTTGATTAAGTAAAATACTTCAATTTTATGATATTCTTCAGGTTGTTGGGGTGGCAGTCAAAGTGTTAAAGCGATACGTGAGTTGATAATGAATAGAGGATTATGCTTCATATTACGAAGCTCGAAATAGTGTATTGACATGATATCGTTTTTTCATTGTTTAAAATCAAATCAAATTGTTTAAATCAGCTGTAAGGGCAAGTGTTAGATAAAAAGGTGTTTCTTCATTTAATAATTTGAATAACTTGGGAACAGTATAGCGATATAGATGTGCTAATGACTAGAGGATCATAATGCAGAATGAAACTGGCCTAAGTGATTTGTAAGAAATGTCAATGGAAAATGTGTTTCCTCTTTTAATAATTTTAGTAAGTTGAAAATTGTGTATCGACATTTTTCAATTCTTTATATTTTTCCATTGTTTGATATTACACTTACGATTTTTTTGTAAATGCATGAAATCTTTAGGCTGGTTGTAAATCATGTTACATCATCTAAATAGATCTAGATAAAACGGGGGTTCCTTTTAGAAAATAAAGCTACTGTAATGTATTTCTTTAAGGCTCATAATTTTCACTAACGAGGTTTTGCAAGTTGTTTAAAATAGCATCGATTCAGGTGGACAGAATTCGTAGGACACACTGTACATTCGCTTGTAAATCAGTGTCTTGCAGTCTTGCTTATCCACTGCAGGCAATAACTATGTGAAATGTATGAGAACGTTCACTGAACTCAGAATTTTATAATTATTAAATTATTCAATTCTGATACAGCGTATCGTTTTTTTAAGTAATATCTATCGATGATTATTTCACAGTACTTTTTTCAGAAGAACAGTCGTTAGGATTAGATAACGATGTTTTGTGAGCTTTTTTGCTGTCGGCGACAGTTACGGACCGACAAAGTATTTCGAAAGTAACATCGTCTAATTACCCAACGTATCAACTACCTTGATCATAGGAATGTACATAAAAAGAAGTAAAAAGAATTATTTTTTAAATCCTACATGTAACATTGTATCGCTTATGCATGATCGGGTATGCTAGAATGAATTAATCGTTAGATTATGTATCTTCATGCAAAACTACAATTTTTCTGGCATAATTTATATAGACTGAAGTGATACGAAAATTTATGTCTCGCATCATCGGATTCTAATGTCTAAAAATTGAATTGCTAATCGTACCGTGCATTGATTAGATTGCTCACAATCACGTTTTACACAAAACCATAAAAATCTGCAATTTATTAATTATTTACGAGTGTTATGACATTTTACAAAGACACAAAATTTCCATCATTTCTTCGATTTTTGATTCGATTTTTAAACTCGCATAAATCGCACTAAATTGATCAGATATACGTCGTTTAAAAAATTGCGTTGTTTTAAAAAATCAATCATCAAGCGAGTGAACTAAATATGTCTCCACTATCTTTTCAAATTCAAGGAATTAAACAAAAATCGTCAAGCTCATATTATAGACACTGACCATACCAATTAAGAAGCTCCCAAACACTGAATCGGAAAAGCCCCATAGATTACACAGTATCGGACAGGATTCAAGAAGGACAGAAAGGATCGAAGCGGCGCCCGCAAGGAGTACACGGCTGGTACATAGAAAAACATGATCATGCGTTTATTTGACAAACAACATCATCACCATCGTGGCCATCCATAATCATCCTTATCGTCGTCGTTAATACTTAGAGCATGTATATAGATACTGTATTTACATCGATGACACAGCGTCGAAGTCTCCTAGCGAGAATAGAATCGTAAACTCGTTCGTCGACTATTTCCTAATCCTATTTACAGTTTTGCGCATCGTTGGATCGTCGATTGCCAGCCCTGAAGAGACGAGATTGAGGAAGAGATAAACAGAGGAGGAGGTGGGGTGTACGTGGAAGATGGCAATCGACGCTATTGCGGTAAGCAACAGACAATCATCGACTTAGGCTTGTCACAGAGGGTGGGAGAGGGTAGTGTCCTGGCAATTTATCGGCCGAGCTAGAAAGAAAAATCCATGTCGTTTGAAAATCCAAAGTTTTCAGTCGCCGCTGGGAAGCTGACTAATGTGCGTTTGGTGCGTTTGCTTTTGATGCGTTTGCGTTTTGATGTGATTGCATTTTGATGCGTTTGCGATTGATGAGATTGAGCGATCCTCTGTCAAGCGGTGCTGCTCGATGGCCCTTTTGGACGTATCCGAAGTCCAAGGTCCAACGGTCGCGCCCCATTAAGCCGTATAATACGCCGCTTCCGGTGCTTGGTATTCGTACTGTTTACGTACACAACACTGACTTTAATGGGTGACTCTTGTTCGGTTAGAAACGACATTTGGACGAGGATCAATCGACCCTCGCCGAAGGTTCTCGGTCATGCTGTTCTATGCAGATTAGTCGTGAAACAAAGAACCTATATCCTGGGTTATCGACGAATCGAGAGACACGGCCGAGATGCTTTAGTTCTATGAGTTAGGGATACGCTTGCATTCGATTCACGATAAAAGTTACAAGAAAATAGAAGTGCTGAAATTATTCATTCTCAGGCTGCTATGGTCCTGTTAAGAAAATGATACAAGGATAAATGAGCCGTTTATTTTGAAAGTGGCATAAGTCACTTTACCGTAATGAAAAGTGGTGATTTTTTAATGTTTATACGAAATTATTTATACTGAGAAAGATATCAGTATCCTGAGATAACAAATACAAGTAAATCTTCTCGAAAGTTAGCATCCATATTTTTAAACGTGTTAAAACGCAAACCCTTAAATATATCGACTTAAAAACAAAGTGACTTATGCCACTT